GGCGAAGTTGTGGAGCGTGCTCATCGAGTCGCCTGTGGACGGCGCGCTCGGGGGTGGGGAGGCTGCGTGCGACGAGGCTTTCCTGAGGTCGGGCATTGTCCTCCTACAGGCGGAGCTAGGAAGAACAATTGAACATAGTCGAACAAAAATCAAACATGAAAAACTGGTAGGCACATCGTCCCCAGGCTGTTGCTTACCATGCGTGCATCTTCTACCGAAGAACAACTGAAACTAGTCAAACAATTTTCTTAAGATATGTATGAAGATGGTGGGCACACCGTCCCCAGGCTGTTGTGTACCATGGGTGCGTACTCTTCCCGCAGAGGGACATGCCCGACCGAAGGCCTGCCCCTCCTCGCTTCCACCCCGGGCGCGCCGCCGAGCCTGCCGGACAATGCGCGCTTTGTCTGATTCGGCACTCCGGCATCGGGCGGACGGGGTGGCGGCTTAGTGGGCCCTGGCAACGACAGGGCGAAGGGGGAGAAGGCTTCTCGCCTAGGGGCTCTGTGGCCCCCTTGGCCTTCTGAGGAGTTGTTCGAAGCCTGCCCCGAAGATATCAACAAAAACCTTTCAGAAGGCCAGCGGCCCTCTGAGAAGCCCCGCCGCCTTCCGAGAAGGCTTCTCGCCTAGGGGGAGAAGGCGAGAAGGGGCGGGCCTTCTCGAAGGCTCTGCAGCCGTGGCCTCCTGAGGTGTCTTCGAAGCCCTTCGCCCCGAAGACACCGAAGGCCCTCGCCGTCTTCTGAGAAACCCCGCTGCCCTTTGTCGTGGGCACGCTGACACATAGTGGGCCCTGGAAACGACAAGGCCGTTTTGTTACCAGCTCCGTTTTGCCGTTTTTGATGCCAGTTCCGACGCCGTTTGTTTTACCGGTTCCGTCGCCGTTTCTGTTACGGGTTCCCGCTCCGGTTCCAATCCTGGAGCCGTTTTTGTTGCCGTTTCCAGTTTCCGTTTTTTTGCCGTTTCCAATTTCAAGGGACACTTTTTTCGGAAACGGTGAAAACCGGCCCTGCCGTTTCCGGGGCCCACTGAGGGTGGAGGCGGGGGGGGTTCTGGCTGCGGACCTCTGCTCAGCGCGGCTGTTTGGAATCATGCGTCCTCTGGGGGAGACCCCACCTGCTCGAAACAGAGGCCAAGAACAGCCAAGAACTACTGGCACGCTCGCTTGTTCTCTCAATCCAGAGGCAGGGCGCAGGCCAGGCAACACCCCGGGGGACACTTGTAGGCTCTTGCCCAAGGAGCTGGAGGCCTCGAAGGTATGGAAGCTAAGAAAGTGCCTGCGAATGCCACCACCTACGACGTGCGCGAGCTGCCTATGTCGCGCCGACGCCTCGAATGCCACCGCCGACGGTACGGTAAGCTGGCCGCGTTTGAGCGGGAATGTAATCACAATGGCGACGCCCTTGCGAAGCAGGAAGCAGCGTTGGTCCGCAACCCTGCAGCGTATCGCCTCCTCCTTCGTGATTTCGTCGGCTCTCGCCAGATCCGCCCTCAAGTTCATCGCCCGTGCGGAGGCGCAACACGGCGACCAGGAAGTCTATGACAACCTTGGGGCCCAAGCGCTGACCATGGTGTCTTTGGAAGCCCCCTCTGGGCACGAGGCCACGGAAGGGGGCAGCTTTCTTTCTGGGATGCGGGCCCCGCCAGGGGCGGGTGAGATGCCACCCTTGTAGACGAGCGCGTTCCACTACTCGCAAAGTAGCTACTCGCAAATGGCATGGATCCGCCGCGGAGGATCTACGATAAATTACACCAAAGCGGACATGTGTTTTTTCAGACGTTTGCGAGTATGCACTTTGCGAGTAATGGAACGCGCTCGGCGACCTTGGACGGTCACGCTCACGACCCTCCCGCTCCAGAGCCCCAGGACTCATCGCCGCCCCGGCATGCCGGGGGCCAGTGTCCCTGGGAGTCCCCCGTGCTGACGACGGGGGCTGAGCTCCCTAGCCTCCATGTTTTTGAAACTCTGGTGGCGAGTACGCCACGATCGCCAAATCCTCTCGCTGCCGTAAGGGCCGCTGTCTGGGTCAAGAGCTCTCCTTGCAAGGTGCGGGGAAGCGAAATTCGGACGCGCTTGCTCGTCTGGTGCACCCGAACACACAGCCCATGAGCTTGGCCCGCACAGACCTCTCGGGGACCTCGCTCGTCGCACCTTCGGTCCTCGGTGGAGTGGTGGTCGATCGGAAGCTGGCCAGGCGAGATGTGGGCCGGGCGAAAGAGGGGGATAGCAAAGGGGCGGTTTGAGAATCAGCTCACGTAGCCGATTTACCCGCCGACTCCCAGCGCTGGAGGCGCCCATGCATCGAGGATTGGGCCTGGCGGCGGGGCGGAAACCAGCTGCATGCAGTAGATGCTGTAATCTCTCCTTTCTCTATATCTAGGGCTCCCAACTTCGCGCTTCGCGCTCCGCGAAGCGCGAAGCGCGAATAACTTCGCGTTCTCGCGCCGCCCCCCCAGAGGGAGAAGAGGAGGACGAGGAGAAGGGGGAGAAGGAACGAGGACCGCGAAGCGCGAATAACTTCGCGCCCTCGTGGGAGCCCTTGTATATCCCCCCTCTCGTTCGGCCCGAGAGGCGTGGGCGCCGAGAGGCAGACGGGGGCTCCCGGGCGTGCGGGCCAGCCCGAACTCTGCCTTCCCCAGAGATCCGAGGTCGTGATTTTTCTTCAATGCGCGGTCCCCGGAAGTCTCGACCCCTTCCCCATTCCCCGCCCGGCTGCCGCGGGCCCCCGGCGGGGAAGGCGCCCCCCCACCAGGGGGACCAAAACGTTCCTCGCCGATGGTGCTGGCCCAGGGGTTATTAATCCGAGGCCAGGACCTCTGACACACTCTCTCTCTATCCCTCCTTTGGGAGCGTCCAATCCTCATCGTCCTCCTCCTCCTTCACTTCTGCTTCCTCCGCCTCCTCCTCCACTCCGGTTCCTTTGCAAGACCCAGAGATCCGATGTCGTGATTTGTGTTAATACGCGGTCCCCGGAAGTCTCGACCCATTCCACAGGACCGGATTTTCATACTGAGTCGTTTCTTGACGGCCCCGAGGCCCGGTGAGGGCCCCCAGAGGCCGAAAACTGTCAAAAACCTCCGTCCTGATTTTTTTTTTCAATTCGTGGGATCTCTGTGTAACCCTCCCTGTCGCACCTCAAATCGCTCGAAAGGGCGGGCCGGGCGTCTCGTCCGAGACCCCTAAAATGTTCTAAGAACATTGCTGTTGCTCTTAGAACATTTTGGGGTCCTTAGAACATTTTGGGGTCCTAGAGGCCGAAAACTGTAACAAAAACCTCCGTCCTGATTTTCTCAACTCGTGGGATCTCTGTGTAACCCTCCCTGTCGCACCTCAAATCGCTCGAAAGGGCGGGCCGGGCGTCTCGTCCGAAACCCCAAAATGTTCTAAGAACATTGATGTTGTTCTTAGAACATTTTGGGGTTCTAAGAACACTTCGTGGTATGACTATAGGAAGGCCGGGACGGTCGGCCCCTGCTCAAGGGGGGGAGGTTTCTTGGAAACACCCCCGCTTCCTAGAAGGCGCGGGCCGTCTCCATACACGTAAAGCCGGCGCCCGCTAAGAAGCAGCCCCCCTCTAAGAGGCCTTCCCCGCCCCCTCCTCCTCCTCCTCCTCCTCCTCCTCTTCCTCCTCCTCCTCCTCCTCCTCCTCCTCCTCCTCCTCCTCCTGATGCCTCCTCCTCCTCCTCCTCCTCCTCCTCCCCCTCCTCCTCTCCTCCTCCTCCTCCTCCTCCTCCTCCTCCTCCTCCTCCTCCTCCTCCTCCCCCTGCCTCCCCGGCCTCGCCCTCGCCGCCCACGGGAGCGCCGCGAGCGCCGGGGCCAGGCAGCGGGCACCCTACACCGACACGAGCCGTCCCCGCCCCAAGAAGGCCCCGAGGCCCCTCCCCCGCGGGGGCCAGTTCCTCGAGACCGCGATTCAGTCGGGCGTGTCCCCCTACAGGGGGATTCTCGGCGAAAAATACGACACGAGCCGTCCCCGCCCCAGAGGCCCCGAGGCCCCTCCCCCCAGGGGCCAGCTCCTCGAGACCACGATTCAGTCGGGCGTGTCCCCCTACAGGGATTCTCGGCGAAAAAACGACACGAGCAGTCCCCGCCCCAGAGGCCCCGAGGCCCCTCCCCCCAGGGGCCAGCTCCTCGAGACCACGATTCAGTCGGGCGTGTCCCCCTACAGGGGGATTCTCGGCGAAAAATACGACACGAGCCGTCCCCGCCCCAGAGGTCCCGAGGCCCCTCCCCCCAGGGGCCAGCTCCTCGAGACCACGATTCAGTCGGGCGTGTCCTCCATACAGGGGGATCCTCGGCGAAAAATGCGACACGAGCCGTCCCCGCCCCAGAGGCCCCGAGGCCCCTCCCCCCAGGGGCCAGCTCCTCGAGACCGCGATTCAGTCGGGCGTGTCCCCCTAATTACAGGGGGAATTCTCGGCGAAAAATACGAAACGAGCCGTCCCCGCCCCAGAGGCCCCGAGGCCCCTCCCCCCAGGGGCCAGCTCCTCGAGACCACGATTCAGTCGGGCGTGTCCCCCTACAGGGGGATTCCCGGCGAAAAATGCGACACGAGCCGTCCCCGCCCCAAGAGGTCCCGAGGCCCCTCCCCCCAGGGGCCAGCTCCTCGAGACCACGATTCAGTCGGGCGTGTCCCCTACAGGGGATTCTCGGCGAAAAATACGACACGAGCCGACCCCGCCCCAGGGGCCACGAGGCCCCTCCCCCAGGGGCCAGCTCCTCGAGACCACGATTCAGTCGGGCGTGTCCCCCTACAGGGGGATTCTCGGCGAAAAATACGACACGAGCCGTCCCCGCCCCGGAGGCCCCGAGGCCCCTCCCCCCAGGGGCCAGCTCCTCGAGACCACGATTCAGTCGGGCGTGTCCCCCTACAGGGGATTCTCGGCAAAAAATGCGACACGAGCCGTCCCCGCCCCAGAGGCCCCGAGGCCCCTCCCCCCAGGGGCCAGCTCCTCGAGACCACGATTCAGTCGGGCGTGTCCCCCTACAGGGGGATCCTCGACGAAAAATGCGACACGAGCCGTCCCCGCCCCAGAGGCCCCGAGGCCCCTCCCCCCAGGGGCCAGCTCCTCGAGACCACGATTCAGTCGGGCGTGTCCCCCTACAGGGGGATTCTCGGCGAAAAATTCGACACGAGCCGTCCCCGCCCCGGAGGCCCCGAGGCACCTCCCCCCAGGGGCCAGTTCCTCGAGACCACGCTTCAGTCGGGCGTGTCCCCCTACGGGGGGATTCTCGGCGAAAAATACGACACGAGCCGTCCCCGCCCCAGAGGCCCCGAGGCCCCTCCCCCCAGGGGCCAGCTGACCACGATTCAGTCGGGCGTGTCCCCCTACAGGGGGATTCTCTGCGAAAGATACGACACGAGCCGTCCCCGCCCCAGAGGCCCCGAGGCCCCTCCCCCCAGGGGCCAGCTCCTCGAGACCACGATTCAGTCGGGCGTGTCCCCCTACAGGGGGATTTTCGATGTAAATTGAAACATACTTAAAAAATACTCCCACATGGTCGAAACATGCTCTGAAAATCGTCCCCGGAACATTTTTGGGCCACTTTTGAATGTTCCCCCTGTAGAGGGACAGGCCGGACTGAACCCTACAACATGATCCGTCCCTGCCCCAAAGGTCCCGAAGCCCCTCCCCCCGGGGGCCAGTTCCTCGAGACCACGAACGTTTTCTTGCTTGGCATTTCCGCCTTGGGCGGAAGCGGGGGGGAGGGGTGGAGGTCTGGCTCTGGGCCTCTGCTCACGCTGCGGTTTGCAGCAGTGCCTCCCAGCGGGGGAACTCCATCTGCTCGAGACAAGCGCCCAAAAACATCGATTAGGTATCTACTCCATTAGAATGGTGAGGGGGGTGCGAGGGCCCGCGCCGATCGGAAAAACAATGGATAAGAAAACGATCACCTTGCCCTTACCGACAATTGGGCTGCTTAGGTTTGCTCTTACCCTGCGAGCATTGCCCCCTCCCCCGTCACCCAGGAAGCGCAGATCGCGTCTGCTGCCCTTCCTCGAGCTTCAAAGCCAACCCTCTCTCCCAATCCTCCCTCGGATCCGACCCCGATCCTCCTCCCTCCCTCCCTGATGAGGGGGGAGGTCAATTGGCGGGGGGGGAGGCGGGTGCGAGGGCCCGCGCCGATCGGCAGAGCCAGGACTCGGAACCCGATCCCGTTGTGGCCCGTGCGGCGCGCGCGCGTCGCTGCGAAGGGGCCCCCGTGACGGATCGGCGATAGCGGGCACGTGCCTGGGCAGGGCGGGCTGTGGCAGGCCCCCCTCGGCGATCGGTGGGCGACCGGCGTCCGCGTCGATGCGTTCGAAGCTGCGCACGCGGACCCCGAGCAAGGTGCTGGGGGTGCAGAGCGGCTGGAGGGGGTGAAAGGCGGAAGCTCCATGTAGGCGGAGGTGGCCATTGGGGGGGCCTGCTCAGGCCGGCCGGGGCCGAGACGGGCCCGGCACGGCCAGGAGAGCTCGCCAGGGCTGGGAGGCCTGGAGGGGAGACTGGCCGGGCACGAGCCTTCAGGACCAGCCCCGGCCAAGATCCCTCCCGCCTCCCAGCAGCCGCGGAGGGGGCCAGCGCACCTGCGCGCACGCAGCCGCAGCTTCCCTTGCGCCGGCCCGTCGCCCGAGCGTGCCGCGGCCAGCGCTCGGCGGCGAGGCCGAGACCGGCTGCGGGCGGCAGATTCTGCACCCCTCCCCTCCCTTCCCACTTCCGCCCCCCTCCGCCCGGCCCCAGGAAGGGGAGGGAGGGAGAGGAGGAGGAGGCGAGAGACGACCTCGATCTTCGCCCTCCTCAGCCAACCCCTCGCGGGCTTGCGGTGGCAAACACGTCCATCACCACCGACTTGACCTCCGTGGCCTGGAGCACGCGGTTCGTGACTTTGCGCCGCACCTCCCGCGCGGCCAAACGCCAAGACGCCCTTCATCCTCCCCCTCGCTCCTGGACCTTCCTCGCCGCCTTTTGCCGCTGCTCCTCCACGTGCTTCTCGTCAGCACGAAGCCCCTCCCTCTGCTCCCCAAAACATCCTCACCTTCTCGTGCTCCTCCTCCTCCACTCTCTCCTTCTCCGTCTCCTCCTCCTCCTCCTCCACCTCTTCCTCCTCACCCGCCATTTCCTCCTCCTCCTCCTCCTCATCCTCCTCACGTTCCTCCTCCTCCTCCTCCTCCTCCTCCTCCTCCTCCTTCTCCTCCTCCCCCTCCCCATCATCCTCCTCTTCTTTGTCCTCCTCCTCCTCCTCTTCCTTTTCCTCCTCCTCCTCCTCCTTTTCCTCCTCCTCCTCCTCCTCCTCCTCCTCCTCCTCCTCCTCCTCCTTGGTGCTGCGCCCGCCAAGTGCTCTCTTCCTGGCAAAGCCAATACCGACCCCCGTCCTCAATCTCAGGCTGATGCTCCGCCCGGTCTTCCTTCGCTCCGCTCCGCTGCAGCGGGCAATTCGTGGAAAGATATTCAAAAGCCTTGACAAGAACAGCAACTGAATATCGAGATTCGCCGGCGCGCCAGAGAGGGGAAATGATACGGAGCAGGCCTTCACGTGGAACTTCTGAGAAACTTTCCAGGTGTCTGTAGCTGTTTCTTCTGACAAGTGGGTCCAAGTGACCGCCGACAAAAAAAGGCTTCCAGAGAACGCTTGGGAAATGTCTCACAAGGCCAAGGGTCTTCAGTCCTTCTCAACCAAAAAACCCTCTGCATTCCCCCTGGGAACGCCGTCGAAGAGGCAAGAGTCTTAAAGCTGCCCCGCAAAATCCGACGCCGAGCTGGCTCTAGCCAATCCCGTTGCGTTCGATGCGGCAGCCTCGAGGCGCCTCCCTCTCACCCTGTTTCCTCGTCATCCTGCTGTTCCTTCCCCCGACATCCTCAAGCTGCTCCCCATCATGTTTCTCGGTCTGCTCCAGTATACACTCCTACTACTCATCGTCACCATCCTCCTCCATCCCCTTCTCCTCCTCCTCTTCCTCCTCATGATCATGCTCACCCCCTCTTCATCGAGTCTCCGCGGAAGCCTCCTGGGGTCCCTGGGTTATTCCTGGGGGCGCCACGGGGCGCCCCAGAACACCTCGACGAGGACGGAATCTACAGCAAGCGTGGTCGGATATAACCTCTGGAGCCTCCGTCTTCCACCCGCCCCCCTCGCCCACTCTGCTCCTCCTGCACTGCCTCCTGCGACGGAGATGGCACGGAGCCGCGCAGTGCCCACCCGCGCGCAGCGATCGCCCAGCCACCCACCTGGCTATTTGCGTGCGCTCGGTGCGCGGTCGACGGGCAGCGCGTCGGAACATCACCGGAGGACCAACTGACTTGGATGCGGTTGGGCGTCTGCGTTGGGCGGGCACCACCACAGCCGATTCGGGGGAGAGACGGGGGGCAAATGAGGCCCCTCCAACATGTCGCCGTCATCGTAATTTCATGTGTCTGGTCTTGTCGTCTCGTGGCGTGTCGCGGGTGCCCCATTCACGCGTGTCGTGTCTTGTCGTGTCTCGCTTTCCCCCCCCCGGTCTTGCCCCCCCCCTGCTGCAATTGCTCCCCCGCCCGGTTCAGAGAACATCGAACGCCTCGCTGCCTAGCTCTGCACGCCGCCAGGCTCGGACGCGTTAGCCACCGCCACTTGCCGTTGTCGCCGATTCCCTGAACCAGTGGCCCGGACGAGGGACGTCGGAGGCGGCAGCGGCAGTGCCGAAGCGCAGCCAGGCCATCAAGACATGAGGAGGCAATCCCGACTCCAGCTGGCTCCTGTTCTGGAGGGAGGGGGAGGGGCTGTGCGCAGGGGAGGCTGCAACCACACTCAGCGATGTGCTGTCAAACGCATGCCTCTAGGGTGGGCCCGGCCCATTCTCTGTGGGCATTTCAGTTCTGCTCTGGGCTTCAGGAGCGCCTGTGCGCCAGCACGCCCGGAACTGGTTTCAGCTCACACGGGTGTACCCTCACAAGTATCACAACTATCATCACAGTTGCCGCATTTCCAAACGTCATCATGGTATCGCGCCCGCCCTGGTAGCAAACCCGCACTCAAGTGCCCCTGCGGTAGCGCGGCCTGGGAGACGCGCTGGGAATTTATCATCGGCACGCGCCATCGCGGCCGCTCCAGCTGTGCCAAACCAGCTGGTCGATCTGCGCGTGACCGCGCGCGCCAGCGCGGCCGCAAGGATCCGCTAGCAAGTTCCAATCGGCAACAGCAACCGTAGCCGAATGGGTGCTGCTGGTTGGAGGGTGGGACGTTTTCGCCGGCAATGGAGATGTCAACTCCTGATTGACTTGGCCAATTCCACCAAATAGGTTGCAACACATAGGGTCAGATCGAGAATGCAAGAACAAAGCCACTAATCGGGGCCCAAGCAAACAAACATGTTGTTGTTGTTGTTCCCAACTATCCTGTGGTGTTGGATCCTCGTTTTGAGGAGACAGCGCCCCGAGTTCTCCTCTCCTCATCTCATCCTCCTGCTCCTCCTCCTCCTCCTCATCCTCCCCCTCCTCCTATCACTGCTTTACTTTCCGCGTGTCGCCCATTTCGGCACACCCCTCACGTAGTTCGTGACCCCATATGGATCTCCACCGAAGAATCTCGTGGGAAAATTCGCATGGCACCGCCGCCTCATTTCGGCGCACCCTCACATGGTTCGTGGCCCCGTCGGGAACTCCACGGAAGGCTCCTTTACGAAAAGTCGCATGGCAACGCCACCCCATGTCGGCAGACCGTCATACTTTTCGTAGCCCCACAGGGAGCTCCACCGAAGGCCCCAGTGGGAAAGTTCGCATGGCACCGCCGCCCCATTGCGGCATCCACTCACACATTTCGCGGCCCCGTCGGGAACTCCACCGAAGGCCCCAGTGGGAAACTTCGCATGGCACCGCCGCCCCAGTTCGGCACACCCCTCACACATTTCGTGGCCCCAAAGGGAGCTCGACCGAAGGCCTAGTGGGAAAGTTCGCATGGCTCCGCCGCCCCATTCCGGCACCCCCTCACACGTTTCGTGGTCCCATAGGGAGGTCCACCGAAGGCTCCAGTGGGAAAGTTCGTATGGCACCGCCGCCCCAGTTCGGCACCCCCTCAAACGTTTCATGGCTCCATAGGGAGCTCCACCGAAAGCCCCAATGGGAAATTTCGCACGGCACCGCCGCCCCATGTCGGCACCCCCTCACCCGCTTCGTGGTCCCCAAAGGGAGCTCCACCTAAGGCCCCAATGGGAAAATTCGTATGGCACCACCGCCCCATTCCGGCACCCCCCTCACACATTTCGCGGCCCCAGTGGGAGCTCCACCGAAGGCCCCAGTGGGAAAGTTCGCATGGCACCGCCGCCAAATTTCGGGCACATCCATCACACGCTTCGTGGCCCCAAAAGGAGCTCCACGTAAGGCCGCAACGGCGACCTTCGCAGTCGTCCACCCGACCAATGTTGGCACACCCTTCGCACGTTTCGCGGCAGAAGGGCGTGCCGCGTGCGCTACCCGGAGTTTGCGCGCCCCCCTCATTCGTGGCATCTTCCTCGCGGCATTCGCAGCTTCACATGGTGGGGCCCTTCGTCGGGCGAATTGGTTCTCTTCAGTCGGCCTGACGTCGCTCGCACGCATCCTTGAAAAATGGCGACCGCCCGTCCACACACGATTCTCGGGCGACGGCCTGGCGGCGGCGGAGTCTATACAGAGTGACGGGCGCCCGCACGCTGCTGTTCGACCCCTGCGCGCGCCAGCCTAACACAAGAGTCTCGACCCGCGGGCGGGCGAGGGCGCGCTAATCGGGCGCGGTAATCGGGCGCGCTGATCGGGCGGGCGAATCGGGCGTGCCACTTGGGAACGCTGATCGGTCGCGCCAAGTGGACACGCTGATCGAGCACGGCAGTCGGGCATGCCAGCCGGGTAAGCTACCGGGGCGCGAACACATGGGGAGCCCCTCACTCTTATCAGCAGCTGCGGGTCTGACACACAAAAAGATCGCGAAAGCGCATTCGGCGATGAGCTATGCTTATTCATGGTCGCGTTGGCGATGCGTCTTTTGTCCTGCCCACGTGGAAGGGTCAAATGAGCAGACACCGCACGAGATCTTGGCACGATCGCACTGTACGCAGAACGCGCGACCAAAGACTGTGAGAGGAACAAGGGGAGGACTTTGACTAGGGCGAGGGAGAGGAGGAGGTACAGTCACAACGTGACTTAAGGACGGGTGGTAGGGACGCAAGACCCTTGGAGGCCGAAATTGGGATTGTTTGGGTGGCGGGCGGCCAACCTGGATGAAGGCGCGCGTCCATAGTAGGCGCGTGGACTGTAGAGAAAACGAAAAATCAAAACGCGCAACGGCGACCCCCGCAGGCTTCTTGGAGCGAGCACCACCGATCTCAACCACTTCAGGCCGATCGTCGACAACTTCGGAACGATCGCAATCAAATGGTTGCGACGCTTTGTGGGAGCTTCAAGAAGGTCTTGATTAAGGGAGAGATCATAAGAGCGCTTCTGGATGCTTTGAGAGTCCTTGAGCTTCCCGACGGAAACCTGGAACATCTGTTGGAATCCGTCCGATCGCAGACCGCTTGCCATCATCATCATCATCATCATCATCATCATCATCATCATCATCATCATCATCATCATCATCATCATCATCGTCATCGTCATCATCATAACCACCATCATAACCGCCATCATCACCATATTCATCCTCAGGCCCTAGTATCTCTCTTCTCGTTCTCCCCATTGCCCGTAAATGTGCTCCAACCTCTCCTCCGCCTCTTCCCCTAGATCATCCTCCCAGTCTTCCCCTCATTCCCCACTTCGCCATACCTTACCACCATCGCAATCAGCAGCCCCCTTCGCACGGGCATCAGCATGATCTTCATCATCATCATCATCAGCATCATCATCATCATCATCGTCATCATCATCATCATCATCATCATCATCATCATCATCATCATCGCCATCATTTCCATGGTCATCATCAACAAAAGCATCAGTATCACCAGCATCAGCATAAGCATCATCCGCATCATCATCATCAGCATCATCATCGGCATCCAGCCTCATCATCATCATCACCATCATCGTCCGCAGCAACACCAGCATCGGCAACAACAGCATCAACAACATCATCACCATCAGAAGCAACAGCAGCATCATTATCATCACCACAACCATTGTCAGCGTAGCCATCATCACCATTCTCAAAATCAGCGTCATCATAATCAGCATCGTCGTTTCAGCATCACCATCATCACCATCAACATCATCACCACCATCATGTTGTCCTCATCCTCCCCTCCTCCTCCAAATTCTCCTTCTCCCCGTCCTCCTCAATTCCTTCCCCTTGTAGATAACTCCTCTCTGTCGCACCCCGAGGCCAGTCTTCTAAAGCGGGCTGGACGTTCCGCCTGACTTCCTCACCACTTAAGACTCTGAGTCCAAAGTGCTAACAGATTCACAGATGGAGGGCGGGTGGTTTTCAAAATGTGGATCTCGCCTCAGCGCCGCGCACATTCGCTTTAAAAAAAAGCAAGAGTTTTACGGATTGAGGGCGGGTGGTTTTCAAAATGTGGCTCTCGCCTTCGCGCAACGCACATTCGATTTGACAATTTGCAAGGGCATCGCGGATTGAGGGCGGATGGTTTTCAAAATGTGGCTCTTGCCTGAGCGCCGCGCACATTCGATTTAGACATGTGCAAGAGCTTCACGGATTGAGGGCGGATCGTTTTCAAAATGTGGCTCTTGCCTACGCACCGCGCACACTCTTTGAACAACAAGTTCACAGATTGAGGGCGGTTCCTTTTCAACATATGGCTTTCGCCTTAGCGCCGCGCACATTCGGTTTCAGCATTTGCAAGAGTTTCACGGATTGAGGGCGGGTGGTTTTCAAAATGTGGCCCCCGCCATCGCGCCGCGCACACTCTAGGTAAACGTGTGCAAGAGCATCACGGATTGAGGGCGGTTCCTTTTCACAATGTGGCTTTCGCCATAGCGCCGCGCACATTCCATGCCAAAGATGTACGATTTTTCACATACTCCCATGATCAACGTACCAAAGACGGTGTTTTGGAAGGATTCCAAAACATGCGGGTGAAACTAATGTATTGGCTCGCGGTGTTGAAATTTAGGAAAAGATCGTTATGGCACGATTCCGGATCGCCAAAACGCAGCAGTCAGGTTGATACGTGTCGTTGATCTCCCGAGAACAATGTTTGGGTAACCTTCAGGATCGTCAACGGTTGTCTTCCAATGAGGCGGTTCCCTCTATGGAACTGAACCGTTTAAGGGGCCTATGAAGAGGGAGCTTGGAGGGAGGGTTGATTCCAACATCGTTGATGACTGTTGGGTTTACACTGGCCCTCCTCACCATTCTTCTCCTCCCACTACACTGACCGATCCTCTCATTCCCCACGGGCGGCGGCGCGCGCGAGAAAGAGAGAAAGAGAAAGAGCACGACGACGATGGACCGCTGACGGCGGACGGCGGACGACTGACAGTGCGATCAAGGCGGGGAACGAATGAGGAATGACGAACGCAAGAGCCCCTCAAGAATCTCCAAGGATATTTCGGGAATCGTGGAGAAGCCTGAAGGAATCCGCGAGAGTCCCTCAAGTATACCTCCAAAATCTCTCACGAACCCGCGAAGAGTTCCTCAGGCATCCGTCCAGGCTCCCTCAGAAATCCCTTCAGCGTCCCACAAGAATCCCTCAGGACTCCGTGAATAATCCGCCGACCCCTTGGGGATCATCGGCGTGTGAGATGCTTCCCCCTCCCCAAACCCCTCCCCCCAGAGCCTCGGTCCGGTCGATTTGGAGGGGGGGGGGGGTGGAGCGCGAGCGGGGGGGGTCCGGGACGAGCGACTCACGGGGCTTTTCCGGGCCCAAGAGGGCCTCAAGACGGGCCAAGAAGCCCCCAAGAGGCCTCCAAGACGGCCCACGAAGGCTCCGAGACGCCAAACGACCGGTCCAAGACGCCCACGATGGCCCCAAGACGGGCCAATAGGTCTCCAAGACGGCCTCCGAAGTCCCAAACAAGCCTCCCAAGAGGGCCCAAAGAGTCTAAAATTGTTGATTTTCCCGCGTGTTTTTCGACGTTTCTTGCTTTCCCGCCTTTCCGGCTTCCCGACGCTCCAAGACGGCCAAAAAGGCCCCAAAGATAGCCCCAAGATGGCCCAAGAGGCCCCCAAGACGGCCTCCAGACGGCCCAAGACGGCCCCAAGACGGCCCAAGAGGTCCCCAAGACGGCCCAAGAGGGCCGATTTGGAGGGGGGGAGGGGGCCGGGACGAGCGCAGCACGGCCGGGACGAGCGGTTCCAGGGCTTTTCCGGGCCCAAGAGGGCCTCAAGACGGGCCAAGAAGCCCCCAAGAGGCCTCCAAGACGGCCCACGAAGGCTCCGAGACGCCAAACGACCGCTCCAAGACGCCCACGATGGCCCCAAGACGGGCCAAGAGGTCTCCAAGACAGCCCCCGAGGTCCCAAACAAGCCTCCCAAGAGGGCCCAAAGAATCTAAAATTGCTGATTTTCCAGCGTGTTTTCCGACGTTTTTTGCTTCTCCGCCTTTCCGGCTTTCCGATGCTCCAAGACGGGCAAAAAGGCTCCAAAGATAGCCCCAAAATGGCCCAAAAGGCCCCCAAGACGGAATCCATCTAGTGAACATGCCTCCAATTTGGCACACCCCGCACGCGGCAACTTGAATGAAAGGCCCCAAAACCCGAGTATACGCGCGGTTCCCCGCGAACATTGGGCACGTCCCTTATAGATTTCGTGGCTCCACGGCGCGCTCCAACCATAGCCCCAGTACCCGCGGTCCCGTAAACTTCCAACCCCAAGCGCACACACACGTCGATCGTGGCTCCAGAATACGTCCACCGTGGGGCCCAGTGGGAAGATTCGCATGCAAGTATACCCCATGCCGGCACACCCTTTGCACGCGCCGTGGCCTCGCAAATGGCCAAGTTGACCCATAATGACTCCTGGACAGTCCCCCAAAAAAACTCCCGACCGCTACCGAAACGGCTCGAAGACATTCCCGAGCCCAACCTGGCTCCATTATGCCTCTCAGATGGCCCCAGATGAGACCACGACCGCCCGCGGTGTCGCCGTCCGCTCGGACACCCCCGCGGAACTGCCCGAGACCCTCTGGCAGTGGCGGCGAACAGACACCAAACAAATATCACTCGCCTTTTCACCCCTTCGCAGCTTCTACTGCCCCCCGATTGGCATAAACAAGGGGTCGGCGGTGTGGCGTAAGCCTAAGAATCATCCAACAATCCGTTGGACATCCTACACAAAGCCACGAGAATCCTTCAGGCATCCTCAAGAATCTATCTTGGGAGTCGTCAAGGACCCTTCAGAAATCCGCAAGAATTCATCAGAAACCCTTCAGGGTCCTTCAGGAGTCCTCAATGATCCTTCAACAGTCCTTCAGGAACCCGCATCAATCCTTCAGGAATCCTCAAACATATTTCAGGAGTCCTCCCAGATCCTCAGGACACCCTCCAGAGGCCCTCAGGAATCCTCCAAGCGCTGGAAAGCTGAAGCACACTTCCCTGGTCGTAATATGGTTGTTGCCTTGTACGGCTACACAATGAACCCTTCACGTTGCGATCAGCCCGTTTCATGTGGCCGTACACGGTCCGAAGACGCCAAGATCGGTCATATTCTCGTCTCCGGGGATCTGTAAAGGTCTACTAGATGCCTCTGGAGACCAAACGTGTAGGACTTCTGGGCACCTCGATGCCCTATGCGGTTAGCGGCGCGCAGACGGGGTTGGGGGGATGGGGGGTGACTTCTTCGAAAACGGCCGCTTCCTAGAAGGCGCCAGCCCTACATGTATAGAGGATGCCCGCGCCTTCTAATGAGCACGGGTGTTTCTAAGAAACCTTCCGCGCGTGCCCAAAGAGGAGGAGGGAGACAGCCGACTTCCTACCAGGCCACCCCAGCCCCATAACCGAAGAGCTGAATTTCGGGTTGGGGGTGGAGCTGGGGGGGAGTAGTGAGTACGGGTTGCGTCGTGGCTTGCTGGGCGGCGGTGCACAGCGAGGCAGGCCGCCGATCGGACCGGCCGTGCGAGGCAGCCCGCACGGGCGGACGGGGAGGGCTGGCGCCGACGGGCCCCTCGGAGCGCAGGGATCGCCTTGACGTCCTCTTTCCCAACCTTCGCGCGGGGCTCTGGGTCGAGGTCGCCGTCGAGATCCGTCAGGGGGCCTCTCTCGGCGGCGAGCGAGGGGGGGGGGGACGTGGGGAGGAGCAGCCCCCTCTCACAGGCGGTGGCCCTGCTCGTAGTCGCGCCTCCTGGAAGGATTGCGGATGCCACGACAATGGACACCATCACAATCCGATCAGGGAGTTTAGCATGTGCATGGAAATTGTAAGAAATGTTAGGGACACGTTTCAGACCTGCTTTTCCCCACATCCTGAATGGGGTTGTTGTTTTCCCAGAACATCCTCTCCTTCTCCCAGGGAGGCCCCGCCTGAGCGAGGAGGGTATCGGAAACCCATACTATTTACATGGTTTCGTGCCCCTCCCACTCCTCCAGGGGGGCCCCGCCTGAGCGAGGAGGGTATCGGAAACCCATACTATTTACATGGTTTCGTGCGCCTCTCACCCCTCCAGAGAGGCCCCGCCTGAGCGAGGAAGGTATCGGAAACCTATACTATTTACATTGTTTCGTGCCCCTCCCACCCCTCCAGGGAGGCCCCGCCTGAGCGAGGGGGGTATCGGAAACCCATACTATTTACATGGTTTCGTGCCCCTCCCACTCCTCCAGGGGGGCCCCGCCTGAGCGAGGAGGGTATCGGACAACCATACTATTCACATGGTTTCGTGCCCCTCCCACCCCTCCAGGGAGGCCCCGCCTGAGCGAGGAGGGTATCGGACAACCATACTATTTACATGGTTTCGTGCCCCTCCCACCCCTCCACGGAGGCCCCGCCTGAGCGAGGAGGGTATCGGAAACCCATACTATTTACATGGTTTCGTGCCCGTCTCACCCCTCCAAGGAGGCCCCGCCTGAGCGAGGAGGGTATCGGAAAATCATACTATTCAAATGGTTTCGTGCCCCTCCCACCCCTCCAGGGAGGCCCCGCCTGAGCGAGGAGGGTATCGAAAACCCATACTGTTTACATGGTTGCGTGCCCCTCCCACCCCTCCAGGGAGGCCTCCTATCCTCCTCCTCCTCCTCCTCCTCCTCCTCCTCCTCCTCCTCCTCCAGGAGGGTATCGGAAAACAATAATTTACACGGTTTCGTGCCCCCCCTCCACTCCTCAGAGAGGCCGCGCTTGAATGAGGAGGGTCGCGGAAAGCATTACTCTTTACCAGGTTTCGTAGCCCTCCCCCTTCCACTGGGGCCCCACCAGAGCCAGGAGGGTACTAAGAACCCGTATTATTTACAAGGCTTCGTTTCCTGAGCGCGTTCTCTCTCCTCCTGTCGTTTGCCCTTCCGTGCGTACTTACTCGTTCGATGAGCTTCTCTTTCGTGTTGATGTGGTCGTGCCCCATGGGTCCCACGAAACCGTTAATATCTGTATGTGGGGAACTCCGTTAGCATAATTAACATGTTGAAGACATGTTTGAAACATCTCTTAGACTCTGGAAAGTATTTGGCAGCATGCGTCCTCGCCATCGATCGGCTTCCACCATCATAGAGGCCCTCGCGCCTCCTGAGAAGTCCTCGGCGCCGTCGGGAATTTGGACGCCCGAAATGGGCACGGAAAAAAATAGGTACAATGCCCAACAACAAATGTTGTCCCAAACCAACAGCGGCCGCTGTTGGGCAGGCGGCCTTCTGTCTCGAATGGACACAGGCCGCGGCGGCGTGGACAGCGAGTCCTGTTCACAATGAACCAGATCCGCTGTTGGGCATTGTACCCATTCTTTCCGTACCCATTTCGTTCGTGCAGAGGGAAGGCTTGGGGGGGCAACTCGAAGGCCGGGGGGCTTCCGAGCCTCCCCTTCTCACTTGCCCCCCCCGGGGCTGGCCGCCGACCCTCTATGCGAGGGGCCCGTTTTCCACCACCGCTACCATAGGCAAGAGAGGGAGGAGGAGGAGGAGGAGGAGGAGGAGGAGGAGGAGGAGGGGGGGGGGGGGGGGCAAGCTAGGTGCGCGCGCGTCATATCTCATATCTGACGTCCTACCCCTCCCTCCCATCCCTTACCATGGCGCTGATTTTCTCTATCCGCGTGACTAGTGGGTGGTGGTGCGTGTGCGTGCGTGCGTGTGTGCGTGGTTGTGGTGGTGGTGGTGGTGGTGGTGGTGGTGGGTGGTGGTGGTGGTGGTGGTGGGTGGTGGTGGTGGTGGTGGTGGTGGTGTGGTGTGTGTGCGTGTGTGCGTGTGTGCGCGTGTGCTGTGGCATGGCACGGGAAATGACGCCAGCGCTGCAGCGGGAGCACGAGTCGAAACGGGCGGAAGCGCGGAAATGAGGCCAGCGCTGCAGCGGGAGCACCATTCGGAACGAGCGGAAGCACGGAAACGAGGCCAGCGCTGCAGCGGGAGCACGATTCGGAACGAGCGGGGCCCGAAAATGAGGCCGGCGCCTCGGCGAGAGCAGCATGTTGAACAAAAATGCATGCGAAAACCCAACTCCCGGGAATCCTGTGTAAAAAAGCGGGACGCGGGGGGGGGTCGCTTACTTTCAGGCCGCCATCGGGGGAAGAGGGAGAGTAGTATGCATATTGAATAATTGTGGAGGGGGGGAATGGGGGAAGGGGGGGGGGTGGGGGGGGAGGGGGGGGGAGGAGGGGGAGGGGGGAGGGAGGGGGAGGGGGGGAGGGGCAAGCTAGGTGCGCTCGCGTCATATCTGACGTCCTACCCCTCCCTCCCATCCCTTACCATGGCGCTGATTTTCTCTATCCGCGGACGCGTGTCGTAGCGGACCTGTGGCTCCGCGCGCGCGTGCGTAGTGGGTGGTGGTGCGCGTGCGTGCGTGCGTGCGTGTGTGCGTGGTTGTGGTGGTGGTGGTGGTGGTGGTGGTGGTGGTGGTGGTGGTGGTGGTTGTGTGGTGGTGGTGGTGGTGGTGGTGGTGGTGGTGGTGGTGGTGGTGGTGGTGGTGGTGGTGGTGCGGCGCGGTGGTGGCGGGCGGATGGGCGCGCGAGAAAGAGGCCCGCGCTGGGGCGAGAACGCCATCCTGAACGACGGAGGCCAAACACCGATCCGAAAATGAGGCCCACGCTGCAGCGGGAGCACGATTCGGAACGATTCGGGAGCAGAAATGAGGCCGGCGCCTCAGCGAGAGCAGCATTTTGAAAAAAACGCAAGCGAAAACCCAACTCCCGGGAATCCTGTGTGTAAAAAAACAGTACGCGGGGGGGGTCGGATATCTTCGGGACGCCATCAGGGGAAGTGGGAGAGTATTTTCATATTGTGTAATTGTGGAGGAGGAGGAGGAGGAGGAGGGGGAGGAGGAGAGGACGGAGGAGGAGGAGGAGGAAGAGAAGGAGGAGGAGGAGAAGGAGGAGGAGGAGGGGGAGGAGGGGAGGAGGGGCGAGGAGGGGAGGAGGAGGAGGAGGAGGGGGAGGGAGGAGGAGGAGGAGGAGGAGGAGGAGGAGGAGGAGGAGGAGGAGGAGGAGGAGGAGGAAAGAGGAGAAGGAGAGGAGAAGGAGAGGAGGAGGAGGAGGAGGAGGAGGAGGAGGAGGAGGACATCCTCATCCTCCCCTTTCCCCCGTCCTGCCAACGGTAGCGGTGGTGGAAAACTCGCCCATCACTGTGGGCGCGCTAAGCAAAATCGGCAAGCACCAGCTCGGGAGGCCGGGCCGCACCGAACTGCGCCGCCGGGACTGGGGCTGCATCGGCAAGGGGCCGGGGGCAGACCAGATCGGTCGCGCCCTCCTCCTCCTCCTCCTCCGCCTCCTCCTCCTCCTCTTCCTCCTTCTGCTCTTCCCTCTCCCCATCGTCCTTCTCCTCCTTCTCCTCCTCCGCCTCCTCCTCCTCCGCTGGGTGTGCAGCGGCGCCGCGCGAGCAACCGGCCGCGGTCGGAGATGCAGGAAGATCAGGACTGCATCGCGGTGGGGCCCGCCGAGATCGAGATCGAGATCGGATGGCACCGGTGCGGGCACCGGTGGCTGGGTCTGGGAGACGCCAAGCTTGGGTTCGGGGGGCTGGGGTTGGCCGGACGGGGCCGTCAAGAGAACGATGAGACCCGGCGTGAAACTCGACGCGAGCTCCCGCTGCAAGCATCCCACGAAAACTGGAACGTCAAAGTCCGGGGCGGGCTTTTGGATTCAAGAAGACTGGTTATCGAATGCAAGGTACTGTTTTTAGTCAAGAGCGGGCGATTGAATAAACAAATGAATTCAGAAAGCCAATGTTGGGGAATTCACAACCAGACAAAAGGCGGCGGAATCCAGAGTTACAGCGAGCTCGAGTCGCGCGCATCCCCGAGGAAGGGGGTCTCCACACCTCCCCCGAAGCGCCCGCCCGCGCGCGTGGGATGGCAGCCGCGGGCTCTCCCGGTGGCTGCGGCCCCCGACCCCCCACCTCGCTTTCTGTTGCGAGGATCGCACCTGAGGACCACATCCCAGAAACGACTTTCGAGCACCCGGAACAGCACCGAAACGGTGTCGAACGAGCATCGCCTCCCAGGGCCCGACACGCGACAACCCTCCATCGTCTGCCTCTTCCTGGCGCTCGACATTTTCGCGGGTGATCCAGCCCCAGGCAGGTTGGAACATCATAACCCTCGCTCCTCATCCTGCTGTCACCCTCCGCCTCCCCGCCCGTCCTCCACGGACGAGGAGCAGTGCAGAGCGGGGCGTTCCGCCTTCGGGGAAGCCTGCCCAGGGACGGCCAGAGAGCTCGCACGGCCATCGCGCTGCCGTCAGGGACGCCAGATGAGGAATGCGTACATACGCGAGTGTGGCAGGAAGACGCACACAGGTGCGAACATGTCGGCAGGGACATGCACCATGGCCATCACATGCGCCCAGATGCCACGCGCACGCCACCAACGTAGGCCGGAGAGGGCACACGGATGTCCCAGAGGAGGGGCAAGCGGCGGGCACAGGAGGAGCAGGCACGAGGAAGGCAGGCCCGTGCGACCAGAACGGCATGCCGAGAGCACCGAGCAGGCATCCGCGACCGCGCAGCGGCAGCGGAGATGCACAGATTCACACACCTATGACACGCGGCGGGCTCAAGGAACCCTGATGCCCCCGCCCCCCCAAAATAGGGGCAAAACAAACCTACCTCGCTTTTGACCACCCTCGCTTCCAAGAGATACCAAGCGATGCCAAACCACGGCCTGTACTGGTCAGGCCGCTTGACGAGGAGGCGCGTGGTATGACTTGGTTTTGCCTGGAAGCGAAAGCGGGGTAGGTAATTCACGCTCTGACAAAACAAAGTACTATCTGTTCGGGGGGCGCGGGGTTGGAGGCCTCCTAGATGGGGTCCGAGTAGATGGGGTCGGGAGATTGCGTCGGCGATGCATCGGCGATGCGACGCGATCCTCCGACCCGATCCGCTCGGACTCCATTTGGGAGACCTAGAGCTGGGTCGGGCATGTCCTCCTGCAGGGGGGCTTCGGACGAAGAGTTAAACTTATGCCAAGAAGACACCAACATTGACAACGATGGTGAATGAAAAATCGTCCCCCGACTATTTCTTGACTACTTTGGGTTACTCCTCCTGTAGAGGAGCAAGCACGACTTTTAAGCCTCGAAGGGGAAAGAACCTCTCTCCTCCGCCAGCTTCCGCCAGCCACCCGCCGGCTTCCGCCGCCAGAGAGCCGCCCTCCCCGAGGTCTGACGTCGTGCTTCCTTCAACACACGGCGTCCCCAAAAAGCCCCGATCCTCTCCCAGGACCCGTTTCTCATCCCGAGTCGTGCTCGGACGGCCCTCGAGGGGCCGGCGATCCCGAGTTGCTTTTTGGACGGCCCCCGGGCCCGGCGAGGGCCCCCCGAGGCCAAAGACACAGGAGGGCCTCCTCCCGAGCTGTCTTTTGACGGTCCCTGGGGCCCGGCGAGGGCCCCTTGGGGCCAAAAAACAGGAAAAAAAAAGAGCCTTGATGTTCTCGATGCGTTGAACCTCAGGGGGCCCCGATGCTCTCTCGCTCTTGGCGCCCCGCCGGCCCTCGGCCCCCCGGGGGTGGGCCCTTCCGGGGCCCGCGCCCCTCGAGCCGCCGCTCGGGGCTCCCACGCCTGGCCTGCCGCGCTGCCCCCCGGGGTGCTCCCCGCAGCACTGGCCCGGCCCCCACGCAGCGCGCCCCGCGCGCGCCCCGGGCCCGGCGCGGCCCCCGAGAGGCCCCTGGACCTACATTTAGGTCGGGCCTGTCCCCCTGCAGGCAGAAACTTGGGCGAAAAATGATATATATATATATATATATATATATATATATAAATGGTCAAACAACTGTTCAAGGAGTAGTTCCCGGACTATGTTTTCACTGTTTTTGAAGATCCCCCCTGTAGTGGGACAGGCCCGACTTAAACCTTCATGGCGGGATGGGCCGAAGGCCAACCCACACAGGTGCCAACGTGCGCTTGCGGGCGGGCAAGTGTGCGTTTTCTTGTTATTCGGCGTTTCGACGTTGGGCGGCAGCGGGGGGGAAGGGACGGGGGGTCCGGCTCCGGACCTCTGCTTGGCGCGACTGCCTGCAACAGTCCGCCCGAGGGGGGGGGACTCCACCCGCTGGAAACGGGCGCCGACAAACAGCCAGGATCTGCTCCATGCGGGGGGGGGAAGAGAGGGGGGGGGGGGGGGCGAGGGCCCGCGCCGATCGGCAAAACAAGGAATCAGAAAACGATCACCGAGGGCCGCGATGTTGAGCAGGGACCGACCGTCCCGGCATTCCTATAGTCCTACCACGAAGTGTTCTTGGAACCCAAACGAATTCGAAGAGCAAAAACAATGTTCTTAGAGCATAAGCCCGATGTGTTACAGCAAGACCTCCGCCAGAAATGCTCTGAGACAATCTTCGTGGAAACCACAGAAAAGGTTCTTATAATATTGCATGGTAGTGCTGTAGGCGAGCCAGGACGCCTCGCCACTGCTTGACGATGGGCGACGCTGCGCGTGTTTCGGGAGCGGCCAAGAGGGGGGTGTCCAAGAGGGGGGGGTGCAAATCATGACCGGCGGCATGTGCGCGGCCCAGCGCGGGGGGCACGGGACGTAATAAAATAAGAAGAGGCACCATGAAATCTGGGGAAATATCATGGCCCGCGCCATGATATCCACCCCCCCCTAGTCATCACCCCCCTCTTTTCCGCCCCCGACTTGACGATGGGCGACGCTGCGCGTGTTTCGGCGCTGTGCGGAAGCCGGGCGCAGGGCAAGCCGCCGAAGGGCGCGCGCACTGGCGGGTCGCGGGGCGGCGCGGCGCGGCGCGGGGTCAGCCCGCGCCCGGCACGAATTCGGGCGCCTCGGCGCGGAGGTTCGGCGGGATGGCGGGGCCTCCGGCCTGCTGGGCAGTCCACGGGTGCCGATACTGCTGGCGCGAGCCCCAGGACGGGAGAAAGAAAACTTAAGCTTAAGTCGGGCGTGTCCCCCTACAGGAGGATTTTAGACGAAGAATGGAAAGACAAACAAACAACCAAATGCTGAAAATATTATGCGTATCTATAGACTAATTTTATGTTTGAATATCCCCCCTGTAGAGGGACAGGCCCGACTTAACAATAATGTTTGGGCGGCCCATGTAGAGGGCATAAAATACACCCCCACGATATTCCCCCCGGCAGGCGGAGCAGATTAGGAAACGCACCCAAGAGGAAGGAATCGAACAGGGCAGGGCTGCTTAGTAAACGCCCAGGGCCGTTTAGAGGACGTCAATTGTCGGGTCTGGGCGCCTTGTCCTCCCTTGGCAAAGATCGCAGGAGCCGCGACTCCCGACATCACATAAAGCCGTGGCGAGGACCAAAAACTGCAACGCTGGCCCGAGGTCACATTGCCAAGGTGGGAATAATCATCAATCTTCCGCCGCCGGGAACGCTCTTAGGGAAACTAGCAATGACATGAGCGTAACAACTCGGAGGTCCGCGCGGACTGCGCCGCCCCTGGCGCGCGGAGCGCGCCAGGGAAGGGGGGGCAAGCGACGAGCCGAGGAATCCGCGCGGAGAAACGAAGGGGGAAATCATCCCCGTACAGCTCCGGGGCCAACAAGACTCCCCACACCTCTCCCTGGTTCCATTCGATGATCCTCAGAACGTGTGTTAGCTCCAACGTGCGCTTGCCCATCGAAGCCCTCCAGTACGACGCAGGCAACGTAACTGACGAGGGCCAGCACAGGCTGCGTGCTACCAGTGACGCTGAACTGGGCAAACACACAGTGTTAGGTCGGGCGTGTCCCCCTACAGGCGGGATTTTACCGAAATGCTCAAACTATCAAACAACTATTCAAACATTCGACATACCCCAACATAGTCAAAACATCGTGCCGGACTATGTTTTGCTTATTCTTGAGCATTCCTCCTGTGGAGGGACCGGCCAGACTTGGACACCGTGGGCTAACACACGTCCCGAAGACCATCGACCCGCTCGACACGAGGCAGTCCTGGGCGACCCCTGCCGTGGAACCCATGGCCTCCGAGGCCCAACAGGGCGACGACGAGGCAAGGGTAGCGTTCGGTCGGGCATGCCCCCCTGCAGGGGGGTTCTGGACGAAAAATTGGAAAGTGTCTAAAATGCCCCAAAATTATCAAAAAGGTTGGCACCGAATCGTCCCCGGACTATTGTTTGACTATTTTTGGACATTCCTTCCGTGGAAGGACAGACCCGACTTCATTTCAGGGTAGCGGTATCGGTTGTAACCTCCCCAGGCCCCCGGCACGACTTCTTCCACAACGCCGACCCCCGGAGGCCTCGACCCCTTCCCCGGGACCGGCTTCTCTTCCTGCGAGTCGTTCTTGGACGGCCCCGGGGCCCAGCACGGGCCCCCAGAGCCCGAAAATAGAGGGAAACCTCCCGTCGCGATTTCTTCACAGCGCGAAGAAGGGGGTCTGGTAGGGGATCGAACTCTATACACCGATGCTCCGGCCCTGCATTGGAAGTTGTACTGGAGAACGGATCCTGGTGTATGCGGGACCCTGGTGTATATATGTTTCGTTGTTTCCCCGGGACCTCGGGGAAAAAGTATACTCCACCCCACCCCAGCGTAGTCCTCGACCCTCAAGACGTCCTGGGATTGAAGATCAGCCCGCCACTGGTACTGTACATGTTACATGTTCCAGTTTCCGATCTGGGCAATACGGGGTCCCAGTTTCAGATCCGACGTCGAGTTTTTGTCAATACACGGGGTCCCCGGAAGTCTCGACCCACTCCCCAGGACCGGCTTTTCGTCTCGAGTCGTTTCTTGACGGCCCCCCTGGCCTGGCGAGGGCCCCCCCAGGGGCCGAAAACAGCGAAAGAAACTTCCCGCCCTGCTTCTTTTTACGACGCGATCATGCCTGGGTTCACAGCGCGAAGGTCGGCTACACGCAAGAGTGACCCTGGGTAAGCGTGACCTTTGGTGCGCGGCTTTGGGGGGCCGCGGGGGGACCAAACCTGGGCGCGCAAGCCGCTGATCCTGCTTCGCTTTCCGCCATCTGGGGACCCATCTGTGCCCGCACCAAAGGTCACTCAGGCGAAAGGTCACTCTTACGACTAGTCGAGAAGGGGCTCTGGGCTTCGTCCTCCCCGGACCTTCGGCACCTTCCCGGCCTTCGGGGCCTTCCTCTGCGGGGCCTTCTTGGCCGCTGCGCCGGCCGCCGGCCGGGGGGCCCCGGCCCCGGCCGCGGCCAGGAAGGCGGCCCCCGGGGCGGACCAGCCCCCCACGCCGGCGGCGAGCTGCTGCTGCACGACGGAGACCCGCTGCAGGAGCTGGTCTATCTGCTGCTCCTCTCGGCGACTCCAGAGGGGGGCGGGTTGCAAAGGGTGTGGCTTGCAATCGGCACCCTGGGGGGCACCATGGGGGGCGGGCGGGTGCCTCGATAGAGCTCTCTGCCGCGCCCCGAGGAGGCCCGACGAGGACAGTGTCGTGCCCTCCAGGCCCCCACGGCGCCGATCGCAAAGCACACCCTGGCGTAACCGCACCCTTTGCAGTCGCCGATCCTTGGCGTGCTCCCGCTGCATGACCTTATCTACCTCAGGATCCCCAGACATGGTCACGTCGTAAAACAATCAGGGCGGAGGGCTCTTGGGGCCCTCGCTGGGCCCTTGGGACCGTCAAAAAACTACTCGGGATGAAAAACTGGTCCCGGGGAAGGGGCTGGGACTTCTGGGGACGCCGTCCTGGAAAAAACGTAGATGTCGCATGTCTGTGGAGGCAAGTATTGGGAGGTCTTCGACGGAAGCTGCTAGGCCAGATTGGGCCGCGGATTTATTGGGATGAAGCCAGATTACCAGCAGGACTGGGCCGGATTAGCCGAGATTGAGCCGGATTGAGCCGGAATGAGCCAGGTTTCGGACCAGGGCATGGTCAAACCTTGACCTCCCAGGAGTTGCCTCCGAATCTGCCTGATCGGGCAGATGCCCGCCAAGTCATGCCCGCGTCGTGAGACATCACGACGGGAGGTGTTCGGACCTCTTCAGACTCCGGGGGCCCCGCTGGGCCGCAGGACCAGTGCTAGGGCTCGCGCTCCGCGCTCCGCGAAGCACGAACAACTTCGCGCTCTCGCGCCGCCCCCCCAAAGGGAAAGAAGGAGGACGAGGAGGAGGGGGAGAAGGAACGAGGACCGCGAAGCGCGAATCACTTCGCGCCCTCGTGGGAGCCCCCTGCAGCCCCGCAGCGAAAGAGTCGAGAGACGGCGCACGGCGGAGGAGCTGCCAGGAGCCGGCGGCGCGCGGGAGCGGCCCCAGGCGGCGGGGCACCCGCGGGGGAAGGCGGCGAGGGGGGCGTGGGCCTTCCCGGAGGGCTCAGGGGGCAGCCGAAGCGCCGATCGTTCTGTACGGTCCCAGCCGTTCTGTCCAGGCCCTGGGCAGGGTTGCACGTAGCACCCAGACATGACCATCCTCATCGAGCCCTGCACACATGGCCTGAGGTCGGGCATGTCCCCCTACAGGCGGACTTTGGGCGAAGACAAAAGAATACTGAAACAATACCCCCAGACTATGTTTGGGCTATGTTTGAATATTCCACCTGTAGGGCGACAGGCCCGACTTTAACATAGCCCATGGCACGTGGGCCTTCCTGGAGGGGCTCAGGTCGGCGGTGGACAAATCTCCCTTTAGTACACCTCCCCTGAATGAAAACGGCCTGGGACCGAAACCGACGGACCTGGACCCGCAAAAATGACGGCCGCGACGCCCTCTCGCGAACCGAAAACGGCCAATCCCTTCATCGACGTGTCAGGGTAGGAGGTCTGTCCACCCCCGATCAGGAGGCACCCACGGCCTACCGAGAAGCCTTCGGGGGCTTCTCTCCCCCAGAGGGCCGCAGGAGGGCTCCCATATGAGGACAGGTCCGGGGAGCCCTGCCGCAGACTCTGCGCGGGCCCGGCCCCTGCTCGCGTCCCCCCTCGGCGCTCCGCCGACCTAGGCGTAAGTCGGGCCTGTCACCCTGCAGGGGGATTTTCGACGAAAAATAAGAAATGCCCCAACAAACATCCCAAAATAATCCAAAAATAATCTGGGGACTATGTTTTGAATATTTGTGTTGCCTTTTGGGGGTGTTTTTGGGGGATCTCTTTAATTTTCCGTCGAAAATCCCCCTATAGGGGGACACGCCCGACCTAAACCTAGGCCAGCAGGATGACCCCTGGTGCCGAGGGGCAACGATAAGGGGCGGACTGACATGAGGGGGGTGCATCGACATGGAATCGGCGATGCATCGCCGATGGAACGGCGGTGTGCTCCTGACCGTGAGTCCGCACCTTCCTGGGCAGACTGGGGCTATCGGGCCCCCATCGGCGATCAATGGGCGACTGGGGGTCGATGCGTCCCCCCCTGTGCCTATCCCCCCGAATCGTTGCCCCTGAGGCGCGCGGATTTTGGGGGCCGCGGGGGAGGGTCGCATCCGACCGCGCATGCAGGGACCACATAATCCGAATGAGCGCTTTCGGAAGCACTGACCCAGGAAAACGTTTCCATCTCTTGGGGGCGCGTGTCTCACTTCCGCCAGCCGTCCGCCAGCCTTCCGCCGGCGGAGGCGGCCTCGTTGTACTTCCGCCGCCCTTCCGCCGCGGAAGAGATGTCAGCTCGTTCGATCCTCGAAGGCGAGGCCCCAGTCTGGACAGCCCCGCACATGTGCCCGCACCGGCGGTCCCTCTGGCGAAGGGCCCGCGCATACGCCGACAGAGGCACTCCTGGCCCCCAAGGTGGACCCCTCGAGGAGGACCCTCCGAGGTGGACCGGCTGGCCTCGTGAGGGGTGCTCTGGCTCGCCATCGCTCGGACGCCTGTTCCCCGCGCCTGCTTGCGATGCCGCGAGCTCCTCCTCCGCAGGATGATCCAAGATGCTCCTCGAGGGCCTTCGCCGAGAGAGGACGCGCACACGTCCGTGCGAGGCCGAGCTGGCGGCCATCTGGGCCCCCCTGGAGAGCTGTGGCCTGCGCCAGGCCGACCTCTGGCTCCACCCCCTGAGCCCGGGGCGTTCCAGACGGGGCCTCTCTGAAGGGGCCCTGGGAGACATAATTACCCTGCCGACGTACCCAACCCTTGCGCACTGCGGGGCAGAAGCACGTCAGGGATTGCTGCAACGGGGGACGATGACGTAACATGGGCGCATGTGATTTTGCGAGCAGCAATCGGAAGGCTCGCAGGCCCCCGATCAAGATCTAAGGGCTACGTGACAACAAATCACCCCCGTTGGCTGTGCCATGCGCCCGTTGCACCCAACGTATCCCACAGCAGCTCTTGAGAACCCCCGCGGGATACGTGCAGGCACAACTTTATGGTCATCGCCCGGCAGATGGTCTGTTTCACAAAATCACCCCCGTTGGCTGTGCCATGCGGCCGTTGCGCCTAACGTATCCCACAGCAGCTCTCCAGAGCCCCACCAGGGACGGCCAGGTCCCGCTCAGATCTGCGCGGTGCCTCACTCCGCAGGACCCACCAGCAGCCCTCGAAAGTGGCGACAGTTCCGCAGATCGCAGCCCCCCCCAGGCACGGCGAGATCTCGCTCAGATCTGCGCGGTGCCTCACTCCGCAGGACCCACCAGCAGCCCTCGAAAGTGGCGACAGTTCCGCAGATCGCAGCCCCCCCCAGGGACGGCGAGGTCTCGCTCAGATCTGCGCGGTGCCTCACTCAGCTGGACCCACCAGCAGCCCTCGAAAGTGGCGACAGCTCCACAGATCGCAGCCCCACCCCAGGGACGGCGAGGTCTCGCTCAGATCTGCGCGGTGCCTCACTTCGTTGCACCCACCAGCAGCCCTCGAAAGTGGCGACTTTCGCAGATCGCAGCCCCCCAGGGACGTCGGGGTCTCGCTCAGATCTGCGAGGTGCTCCACTCCGCTGGACCCACCAGCAGCCCTCGAAAGTGGCGACACTTCCGCAGATCGGAGCCCCCATCGTCGGCGAAGAGAGGGCAGGAGGAGGCGGGAGGCGGGTGGAGGAGGAGGAGGAGGAGGGACGCGACCACAGTGCTCTATTCAAAACGAATACCCAACCAAGGAGGGTTGAAAATAAATGCACACACAAATAACAGGATTCTCCATATTTTGGGACATTTTCTGGCTTCTTGTCTTCCCCCCCAATTCCCATAATTTTTCCTGGGGATCGACGATTAATTGTGTGTGTTTTTTCCCCTCCTAACTCTCTGCCCTCCAGGGAGCGCGGGAGCCGAGAAGTCCTCCCTCGCCGGCGGAGGGGGCCGGCCGGAGGGCCGGCGGAGGCCAGAGGAAGACGGAGGGGAGCGAAGGGGGGACGATGGAGGCCGGCGGAGGCATAGGGCCCCACCCCTCGGGCGTGTCGGGATGGGGAGTAACCCGGCCTCCTGCTCCTCCTCCTCCTCCTCCTCCTCCTCCTCCTCCTCCTCATCATCATCATCATCACCATCACCATCACCATCACCATCATCATCATCATCACCATCACCATCACCATCACCATCATCATCATCATCACCATCACCATCACCATCACCATCACCACCACCACCACCACCATCATCATCATCATCATCATCATCATCATCATCATCATCATCATCATCATCATCATCATCATAATCCTCAGCATCATCATCATTATCACCATCATCACCAACATCATCACCATCATCATCACCACCATCACCACAATCAGCATCATCATAAACATCATCATCACCATCATCACCACCATCATCATCATCATTATCATCATCGTCGGCGTCATCATCATCATCACCACCATCATCATCGTCGGCGTCATCATCATCATCATCATCATCATCACCATCATCATCACCATCATCACCACCACCAGCATCAGCGTCATCATCACCATCATCAGCATCATCATCACCACCACCATCATCATCATCACCATCATCATCAGCATCACCACCATCGGCATCATCATCATCATCACCACCATCATCATCATCATCATCATCATCATCATCATCATCATCATCATCATCATCATCAAAACCATCAGCACCAGCATCATCATCATCAGCATCATCATCATTCTCGATCTCTCCTCCTCCCTCCTCCTTCTCCTCCTCGCCCTCCTCCTCCTCCTCTTCCTCCTCTTCATCCTCCTCCTCCTCCTCATCATCCACCTCTTCCTCCTTCTACTCCTGCCCTGTAGGTCTCGATTCTTCACCCCCCATTCAAATCACCCCCCACTGTCACCTACCCGAAACTCCCCCCAAAATGGCAGCTGTTCCGGCGGCAAGGTTTCAGGAGCGGTCCGGCCTGGACAAGCTGCGCGTGCACCTGCTCGAGCTCGGGGTTCGGAGCTGCCTCGCTGATGCTGTTCTGAACCTGGTCGATCGCGTCCTTGTGTTAGGTCGAGCGTGTCCTCCTACAGGCGGATTTTGGACGAACAAATTTCAAAATAGTCTAAAAATGCTCAACGGTCAAATATAATTAAAAAAAATCGTCCCCAGACTATGTTTGAATATTCCTCCTGTAGAGGGACATGCCCGACGTAATCCTTGTGGTGCTTCAGGAGGTCGGCGTTGTGGTTGTGCGCCTGGATCGTCTGCCACAGCTCGTGCTTCAGCGCTCCGACCTCACCCTCCCAGACCTCCTCGAGCTTCGCGATGCTCTTCTGCAGGTCGGTCTTGAGGAGGCCCGCGTTCTTGGACTCCAGGCGGTCCAGCATCTCGGCAACTCGCCCGATCTTGCCGCTCATCTGATCCATCTTGCTCTTGAGCTTCTGGATCTCCTTGCCCACCTTGGTCTCCGAGTTGTGCTTGGCTTCCAATATCCGCACAGCCGTGGTGCAGCCACGAGGCTACGATGCATCAGTTACAAATGTGATTCTGATATTGGAACTTTCGTGAGCTGAGAAGGTGACCAAAACAGCTGAGATGCCCTTATACAGACCAGAAGACTGGAAATGGACAGGAGATTCCAGAACAACCGAGAAATCCCAGAACTTCAACTTTTCTGTCGCACCGCAGCGCGGAGGAGAGAAGAGATCACCTCACAGGGCGTGGGGGCAGACTGATCCACGGGGGCCCAGCAAGCACACAGCAACAATTAGGCCCGCACGCTCTCTACACTGGCTCGAGTCCAAGGAGGCGCAGGAGGAGGAAGCAGAAAAGCTGAGTCCCCATTCCCGGCACGCGCTCTTTTGCTCCGCGCGCACGGCTTCTGAACTGTGGCTGCCCGAGAGGCTCCAGAACGGCCACCGACGGACTCGCAAAAGTGCCCCTGGGGGACCCCGGCCAGGCCCCAGACGGCTCCCGCACCAAGTGACCTGGCCGATAGGAACTTGCCAAAAGAAATTGATAGAAACATGAAGTAGGAAGGCGGCTCAAGTAGGTGGGGTTCAGGCCCTCCCAGAGAGCAACAGAGCACAGCCGAAGCAGATCGATTCTTGAAGTAGGAAGGCGCTTGAAAAACACTGGGACCTGAGAATCCAAACATCCCCACTGTCGACGACCCGCGTGTACCCTCGCGGAGGTCCGCGCAGATCTCTCGCACTGGCGCGCTGGAGCCCCCCCTGCGCCCCGGCGCGCGCAGCGTGCCGCGAGGCGACGTGAGAGACGCCGCCAGAGAGGGGGCCTCCGAAGGGTTACCCCGTCGGTCGGAAGGATGCAGGAAGGCGTTCGAGGTAGGTTGGGCTTCTGCCCGCCCCCCTGAAGAGGAGGGACGGAGCGCCACTCGACTCTTGAGGTAGAAAGGCGCGTAAAGTAGGTTGCGACTTGGGCATCCAATGCATAAATATCCACATGAATATATACGCTTCCAACGACTGGCGCGTATGAACATACATCTCTATATACATACACTAGAACTATCGCGCGCGCTTCGCGCGCGCTCAGGTTCTAGCCCAGGCCATAGGAGCGCTGGAAGATCTTGGACATCGCAATCAAACACAGGTGCGTGACATAGTCGTGCTTCCTGAGGACCTCTTGGGGACCTCTTGGGTCTCCATGGGGGCATCTGAAGGGCTTCTGGGGGGTCCTCCGTGCTTCCTCAATTGCTGTTGGAGGCTCCTCTTGGGTGCTTATAGGGGGGAGCCTTGGGGCTCCTTGGAGTCCCTTGGGGCATCGTCGGGGTTCTCCGGGCAGTCAGAAGGTGACGTTCTGCATTCTGACGACGTCTTTGGTGTCATGGCTGCGTGGAGGCCCGACTTGACGCCACCTGGGTTGACATTGAGGCAATGCGGAGGCTCCCGGGGCCTCCTGGAGGCAGTTTGGATGCATCGAGGGTACTGTTGGGCTATCTTGGGGCCTCTTGTACGTCTCCTGGAAGCCTTTTTGGGCCCTGTTAGCAGGCGTTGGGGAGGCCCCGTCGGACCACTTGGGGGCCGCTTGGGGCCTCCCGTGGGCCTCTTGGGGCGGAAGGCTCTGCTGCTGGGTTCGCGTTCTCCTTCTTGGGTCGCTCTTGGGGCCATGTTTGGGCCCTCTCGGGTGTTTTGAGCGCCTTGGGACCCCCTTGGGGCCCTCGTGGGCCGTCTTGGGGCTCTCTTGGAGGCCTCTTCGGCCATCCTGGAGCGGTCTTGGAGGCCTATTGGGCCGTCTTGGAGCGTCGGGATGCCAAAAGACTGAAAACTTGAAAATCGGTTGTTGTATATCGTTTTGATGGGGAAACAATGATTTATGCCTCTTGGGGCCTTCGTGGGAGGCCTCTTGGAACCTCTCCGGCCCTCTGGTGAAGCTTTTGGGGGGCCTCTTGGAGCCTGTTGGGGGCCTCTTGGGGCCTCCTGAGAGGCTCTCGGGGTTGAAAGCTCGGATTTTCGACTCGTGTTATCCCTCTTGGCCCCCTCTTGGGGCCGTCTTGGGCTGTCTTGTGGCCGTCTTCGAAGCCGCTGAGGCTGCCTTCGAGTGGACATTGGGGCCTCTTGGGCCGTCGTGGAGCGTCGGGAAACCGAACAGGCGAGAACTCGACCATCCTTCGGGAACCTACAGATCATCAAAGATGTTTGCCTCCTGGGGCTCCTCGAGAGGCATATTGGAGGTCTCTGGGGGCGTCTTGGAGGCCACCTGGACAATCATGTTGGACGCCCGACTTATCCGGGGTAACTCGGGTCCGGGGTAAGTCGGGTTCGGAATCCCGAAAAAACAACCCGAGTTAGCCCTGACCCGAGTTACCCCTGATGATTCGGGGCTCTGGACGCCCGAATTGTCCGGGGTAACTCAGGTCCGGGGTAACTCGGGCTCGGATTCCCGAAAATACCAACCCGAGTTAGCCCTGACCCGAGTTAGCCCTGATGATTCGGGGCTCTGGACGCCCGAAATATCCGGGGTAACTCGGGTCCGGGAGAACTCGGGTTCGGGCTCCCGAAAAACGAACCCGAGTCAACCCTGACCCGAGTCACCCCTGATGATTCGGGGCTCTGAAACCATGGGCTAACTCTAAGCTAATCTCGGGCCGTCTTTTTTTTTTTTTTTGCTCCGTGGCATTCGGAAGTGGGCGCAAACTGATTTAACAGTTTTAACGCCGGATTGGGCGGAAACTGCTTTAACAGTTTTAACGCCGGCTGCGCCGAAACAGAGGAACGAAACGGAGCTTCGGGCACTTATAACGATACAAACTCATTGAGAGCTCTTCGCGGTCCAGGAGCGCGGGCCTCCCGGCGATCATTACGGGGCCGTCCTCGGGCGACCCTGAAGAGCCCCCCGCGCACCGGCAGGGCCCCCAAGACCCCGGTCCTCCCATGCGCTGTCGAGGGCCCCGTCCCGGTCACCCCCGCCTCGTGCCCAGGAGTCGATATATTTATCAGTATGTATATATATATATATATATATATATCTGTATATATATATATACATATATGTATATATACACATTATCTATTATTTCCGATGCCAAAAGGACCCCCAAAAGCGTCCTAGTGGACCCCAGCCGGGCCCACACATGCTGCCTCACCCGGTGCAAACTTCCCTGGGCCTGCCCCAGCATGCAACAAAACAGCTCGAAACGTAGTTGCCAATCGAGAATATCTCATGACACGGCGGGGTGCACTCGCAGACGGCCAGCACATGGGCCGAGACGACGCTTCTCACAGATACCAGAGGGAATGGCGAACCATGGGCGAGCGAGCGTGGGCAATGACGGAGGGGCGAGATGAGGAGGAGGCATTGGGTGCGCGCACTCATGTGACGCTTCCTCTCTGCTCGCCCTCCGCTTACCAAGGAGAACCTGGCATCAGCTCGAGCGCAGGCGTCCGTCCAGGTGTGCACGCTTCTCGCAGGCGCGTCCGCCCGTGCTCTCACCAGCAGCTGGCGCAGCGCCGCGGAGAAGGAGACAGGGCCGGGACGGGACGGCCTTGGAGTTCAGTCGGGCGTGTCCCCCTACTACAAGGGGATTTAGGACGAAACATCAAAATACTCAACACATACTCCAAAATGGTAACAAAGAAAACATACTCGAAAAATAGTCCCCAGGCTATGTTTTAACTATTTTAGTATTCCCCCGATAGGGGGACAGGCCCGGCTTCACCTTAGAGGCCCATGATTGCGCCCCCTTTGGATCACGCAGCAGCGCGCGGCCGCTCACCGAGACGCCCACGAACTCAGGGGCCACAGAGCGCTGCGGGGCCCGCCCGCCAGGTCCAGGGCAGGACTACTCCGGACTCCATAATACAGTGGGGGGGGTCACATTTTGGGGGGGGTATGATTTGAGCTGTCTTGGAGGGCTCGGTGGGGTCTAGGCGAAGGGCCGCCCTTTCATGGATGGTCTGGGGGGGTCTAAAACTTCTCGTCTGGGAGGGTTGTGACCCCCTCCCTTTTAAAACGAAATCTGGAGTAACCAGCGCCAGATCGTAAACTCGGATCGGATCGGAACGTGCATCGCATCGGGCTGCACCGGCACGAAATCGCAACCGAACCGGCTCGGCTGCGCCACGATGCACACCAGGGACGTGCAGACACCGGGCCGCGGATCCTCGGAGCATCAGGATCGCATCGGAGCGGGCCGGCCGCCACCGAGCTCGAAGCGGACCAGTCGGATGGATGGAAGTGGACCCCGTCAGGGCGTGCCCGCCGCGAAGCGCCAAGGATCATCGCCTCCACCAGCTGGTTGATGCTCGGACGCTGCCAGAGGTGACCAGTGGCCCAGGGGGGGCCCGGACAAACGGCCTCCGAGGCGCCCCTCACGAGGCCCAAGAGGCCCCTCCGGACGACAGGAACGGGTACGGAAACAGTCGGCCAGGTGTTCCAAGCCGACAGCGGCCGCCGTCAGGCGGGCGGCCATCTGCCTCCAATGCACCACGGCCGTGGCGGCGCGGACAGCGAGCCCACTCGTTCCGTACACGTCTCGTTCGTGCCGAGCCGCACGGGCTCCGACGCGGAGCGCAACGCTGGCGGCACCGTCGGCTGGCGGGCGGCCCTCGATCCTCCGAGGGCCGCGCGCAGGACGTCGCCCCCCCCCGGGATGCTCCCGACGGGCCCATCATGGCCGGCAGCCCGAGCCCGCGCCCAGCCGTGGCCACGAGGGCTCGACCGCCCCGCAACAGCAGCGGCAACAGCAAAAGCAACAGCAACAGCAACACCACCACCACCACCACCGCCAACAACAAGAACGACAGCAAAAACAAGCACAACAACAACAAGGACAGGGATCTTCCCTGGCCCCCGGCGCTCGGGGGACGTGCGGAGCTCTCCTCCAGGGGGGGGCAGGAGTCGTCCCCGGCCCCCGGGGCCCCCCAACCCCCCCCCCCCCCCAACAACACAACAACAACAACGGACCGGTTCAAATAAAAAAAAACCTTCTAGCTCTATTAACACTTTACACCGGACTCGCTTCGCTTACTTGCGTGCGCGCGTAAGCGAAGCGAGTCCTGGTGCCATCCCTAATAGGATCCTATTAGAGGTGGATCCATCCCTAATAGGATCCTATTAGAGGTGGATCCATCCCTAATAGGATCCTATTATAGGTGGAGCCATCCCTAGGAATCTGTGGAATCTCTTGAATCCAAAGGAATATGTGGAATCCCTTGGAATCTGTGGAATCCCTAGGAATCTCTGGAATCCCTAGAATCTCTGGAATGCCTAGGAATCTCTTGAATCCCCAGGAACCCTTAGAATCCCTAGGAATCTCTGGAATCCAGAGGGATCTCTGGAATCCCTAGGAATCTCTGGAATCCATAGGAATCTCTGGAATCCCAAGGAATCTCTGGAATCCCTGGGAATCTATGGAATCCCTAGGAATCTCTGGAATCTCTAAGAATCTCTGGAATCCCCAGGAATCTCTGGAATCCCTAGGAATCTCTGGAATCCAAAAAAATCTCTGGAATCCCTTGGAATATGTGGAATCCCTGAGGAATCTCTGGAATCCCTAGGAATCTCTGGAACCCCTAGGAATCTCTGGAATCCCTGGGAATCTTTGGAATCCCTAGGAACCCCTGGAATCCCTAGGAATCTCTTGAATCCCTAGGAATCTCTGGAACCCCAAGGAATCTCTGGAATCCGTAGGAATCCCTGGAATCCCTGTGAATCTTTAGAATCCCTCGGAATCTCTGGAATCCCTAGGAATCCCTGGAATCCCTAGGAATCCCTGGAATCACTAGGAATCTCTGGGATCCCTAGGAATCTTTGGAACCTATAGGAATCTCTGGAATCCCTAGGAATCTCTGGAATCGCTAAGAATCTTTGGAATCGCTAGGAATCTCTGGAATCCCTAGGAATCCCTGGAATCCCTAGGAATCTCTGTATCCCTAGGAATCTCTGGAATCCCTAGGAATCCTTGGAATCCCTAGGAATCTATGACATCCCTCGGAATCTCTGGAATCCCTAGGAATCTCTGGAATCCCTAGGAATCTAAGGAATCACTGGGAATCTCTGGAAGCACTGGGAATCTCTGGAATCCCTAGGAATCTCTGGAACCCCCAGGAATCTCTGGAATCCCTAGGAATCCCTGGAATCCCTCGGAATCTCTGGAATCCCTCGGAATCTCTGGAATCCCAAAGAATCTCTGGAATCTCCGGAATCTCTGGAATCCCTAGGAATCTATGGAATCCCTAGGAATCTTTGGAATCCCTAGGAATCTCTGGAATCCCAAAAAATCTCTGGAATCCCTTGGAATATGTGGAATCCCTGAGGAATCTCTGGACTCCCCAGGAATCTATGGAATCCCTAGGAATCTCTGGACTCCCTAGGAATCTCTGGAATCCCTAGGAATCTCTGGAATCACTGGGAATCTCTGGAAGCACTGGGAATCTCTGGAATCCCTAGGAATCTCTGGAATCCCTAGGAATCTCTGGAATCCCCCGGAATCTCTGGAATCCCTCGGAGCCTCTGGAATCCCTAGGAATCTTTGGAATCCCTACGAATCTCTGGAGTCCCTACGAATCTCTGGAATCCCTAGGAATCTCTTGAACCCCTAGGAATCTTTGGAATCCCCGTGAATCTCTGGAATCCCGAGGAATCTCTGGAATCCCTAGGAATCTCTGGATCCCCAAGGAATCTCTGGAACCCAGAGGAATCTCTGGAATCCCAAGGAATCTCTGGGATCCCAAGGAATCTTTGAAATCCCTAGGAATCTCTGGAATCAATAGGAACCCTTGGAATCCATAGGAATCTCTGGAATCCCTAGGAATCTCAGGAATCCCTAGGAATCTCTAGGATCCCTTGGAATCTTTGGAATCCCCAGGAATCTCTAAAACCCCCAGGGAATCTCTGGAATCCCTAGGAATATATTGAATCTCTCGGAATCCCTGGAATCCCTAGGAATCTCTGGAATCCCTAGGAATCGATGGAATCCATCGGAATATCTGGAATCCCGAGGGTTCTCGGGAATCCATAGGAATCTCTGGAATCCCTAGGAATCTCTGGAAGCCCTAGGAATCTGTTGAATCCCTAGGAATCTTTGGAATCCCTAGGAATCTATTGAATCCCTAGGAACCTCTGGAATCCATAGGAATCTCTGGAATCCCAGAGCTGCGGGGGAGTCTTTGGAATTCCTAGGGATCCTAAAGTTTAACAGAAATTAATAGAATTCCTATGAATTTTAAATATTCTTAGAAATTCTCGGAATTCCTAGGCATCCTAGAGATTCCTAGGAATTCCTAGGAATGCTCGAGATTCCTACGAATTCCTAAAACTCCTAGAGATTCCTAGGAATTCATATGATTCCTAGGAATTCCAAGAGATTCATAGGAAGTCCTAGAATTCCTGGGGATCATCAAGATTCATATGAATTCCCAAAATTCCTAGGAGTCCAAGAGATTCCTAGGAATTCCTAGGAACCCTTAAGATTCCTATGAATTCTTAGAAACCTTGGGAATCCTAAAGATTGCTAGGAATTCATGTGTATCCTAAGAATTCCTGGAGATCCCTGGGAATTCCAGGAGTTCCTGGGAATCCTAGAGATTGCTTGGAATCATACAGATCCCTAGGAATCCGAAAGATTCCTAAGAATCCTATAGATTCCTATGAGCCCTGGGGATTCCTAGAATTCCTAGGGATCCTACAGATTCCTAAGAATTTATAGAAGTCATAGGGATCCTTTATAGGAGTCCTCGAGATTCCCAAGAATTCTGAAAATTCCTAGGGTTCCTGGAATTCCTAGGAATCCTAAAGGTTCTCAGGAATTCGTTGAATTCTAAGGAATCCGAGAGCTTCCAAGGAATTCATAAACTCCTAGGAATCCAAAATATTCAAAAGGAATTCCTAGGATTCCTATGAGTCCTCGAAATTCCTAGGAATTCCTAGAATTCCCTAGGGATTCCTGAGATTTCCTAGGATTCCTAAAGATGAATCGAGATTCCTAGGAATTCATAGAATGCCTACGAATCCTAAAGATCCATAGGAATCCTAAACAATCCTATGCAAATCACATACGGCCTGTATGGGATCCTACGCAGGTCCCGCACGGCCTTTGTATGGGATCCCATACAGAGCCCAGACGGCCTGTATGGGATCCCGCACAGATCCCATACAGCATGTATGGGAACCGATACAAATCCCATACGGCCTGTATGGGACCCCACACAGATCCCATACGGCCTGTATGGGATCCACACGGATCCGTATAAAATTCCGATGGAGGCCTATATAGAATTCGTATGGAGGGCTATAGAATTCCGATGGAGGCCTATAGAATTCCTATGGGGAGCGATAGATTTCCTATGGAGGCCTATATAGAATGCCTATGGAGGCCTATAGAATTCCTATGGGGGGCCTATAGAGTTCCGATGGAAGCCTATAGAATTCCGATGGAGGCCTATATAGAGTTCCTATGGAGGCCTATAGAATTCCGATGGGGGCCTATATAGAATCCCCATGGAGGCCTATAAAAGTCCGATGGGTGCCTATAGAATTCCTATGGAAGCCAATAGAATTTGTATGGGGGCCTATGGGATTCCTATGGAGGCCTATAGAACTCCTACGGATGCCTATGGAATTCGTATGGAAGCCTACAGAATTCCTATGGGGACCTATATAGAATCCCTATGGAGGCCTATAGAATTCCTATGGAGGCCGAGATAACTCCTATGGTGTGACATCTAGAATTCCTATGGTGACCTATAGAATGCCTATGGGGGGCCCTATTGAATTCCTATGGACCAACACAGCCGTGGCAGGGTCCGTATCGGGGCCCACACAACTGTATGAGGATATCTATAAGGATCCATACAGCTGTGGTCCGATCCCTACAGGGCCCGATGCAGCTGTGGTTTGATCCCTATAGGGGTCCACACAGCTGTGGTAGGATCCCTGTAAGGATCCATACAGATGTGGCACGATCCCCATCGGGAGCCATACAGATACAGCCTGCTCCCTGTAGGGATCCATACAAACGTGGTAAGATCTAGGGACCGATACAGCTGTGGTAGGACGCCTGTAGGGATGCTCAACATCTGTGGTAGGATCCCTTTAGGGATCCATACGAATATAATTGAATCCCTATAAGGACCGATGCAGCAGCGGAAGGATCCCTATAAGGACCCATGCAGCTGTAGAGCGACCCCTATTACGATCCATACAACTGTGGTTGGATCCCTATAGGGATCCCTACACCTGTCGTAGGATCCCTAGACGGATCCACGCGGCTCTGGTGAAATCCCTAAAGGGAGTCACACAGCT